AAGAGATGGCTTAGATTCTAGCGTCTTTCACAAAGGTGAATTTGCAAGCAGCATCTACTTCTCTGATGAGATGAAAAAAGCTTTAGGGCTTCCCGTTGATTTTCCATTAGAGTTGACATTGAATCCCAATCCTTCGTTACCAGCCCCCGCTATCGATTTCAGTGAGAAATACCCTCTCGATAGAATAGTTTTGAAAGAAGAACTCAATCGATTAAAGATCTATGTTACCCCCACGGATCTATTCTCAGCGCCGATTCGTAACATCTTTACCAATACTGTTATTAAACACGACACTTCACAAGAATCGCATAAATGGCTAAACTCACCGAACATGAGATATTGGACTCAGCAGCTTAATTTTGCTGTCTGGTGTGCAACTACAGGTTGTGGTGTTAGCTTGCGCCTCTTGTCTGATAGTGATGAATCAGATAATAGATTAAAGCTAACACCGCAAGTGAGATCTATTCTCTGGTTTCATGTTTACTTTACAATCAGACGAATCTTGTTTCAGATGGGTGGAATACAGGGTAGTATCGCTTTGCCTGGCGACCCTCCATTTGATGAGAAAGACAATAGATACGATATTCCTTCTTATAAGAGAATCTGTAAAGAGTTTAATGTACCATCCGAAACCGATTTTCGATTTAATCACGGTGCAAATAGCGGGCTTGGGTCTGTTTATATTTGGGTAACAGGATTAGGCCCGTCAAAGACTGACTACTCTTACCCAGGATTTAATAAATTCAGCGATGAAGGTGGTAAAGCATTGAAAGGTAATCTCGTGCAGTATATAGCCAATACAGAATCTACAGATCAGTATGAGTACTTTCTCACACGTGTATCCAACGGATTGACAAGCGCTGGTCAAGCGAGACTCAATCAATCTATAGAAGCTCTTGTTTACTGCACGTTGGGCGCACAAGTAAATGTTCGGAGTAGTATTCTCGGAAATACAGGAAGTGCAGAAGAGGTTCGTAGAGAGTTTCTCGTATTATTAGAAGATGCCATCGGTCTACCTGACATATCGAATAGTGTAAGTCGATTCCAACTCGCCGTGCAAGAAGCAAAAGTAAAGTTGGATTTAGCAATCTCACCCGGTACATGGTTGCTACCTTCAAGAATGGTAATCAACACAGAGAGCACAATGGGCTATAATAATGATCTGAAAAGAGTCAAACCAACCATGAAACTAGGTGTTAATTCAGATGTTAATATTTTAACAAAGGCTGTTGGAATAAAACATAACTTAGGAAAGAGTAAAGTAAATCTTCCACACACTTCGGTTGTGGAAAAGAAGGTTTCAGTACCTGTGGTAAAGAATGAGCCGGCTAAGCCTGCTGTCGCAAGCGATGCTGACACAACAAAACATGAGATTAATCTTGTAGTGTTGACGATTGTCGCTGGCGGATTAGCTTGGTATATGTTTCGATGAATAATCTCATGTGTTGTCTGCTGACGCATGAGGTGATAATTTCACGTGGTCACTAATTAACATACAATCACTGTTCACGTGTAAAACAAAAGATTGCGTGCCTGAGTTCCCTAACAACCGCTGTGTTTACCACAAGATATCAAAATTGTTAGGGAAGTTAAGAATGCATTGACGTCAAAGAGTCATAAAAGATAAAGCTCTTACAAATTAGCTTCAGAAGTGATCATGAGCAATATGGAGTATGAACAAACCGAGGATATGCAATTCGACAACACCGATTTGATCTCAAGGCATTCTGCGAAGCACGTTCCACCACAAAAACCTCTGGAAACAGTATCTGAGATTCTACAAAACATCATAAACAAAGATTCAATCCCAAAAGAAGATCTGAGAAAGAACTGGATCGCAAAGAAATCTGAGCGAGAGAAGCTCATCAAACAGTGGAATAAATCAAAAGAATCACTAGCCTACTGGGTTTCGAAAACTTCTCTTCTCGAATACCAACTAAACAGAAACAGTGAAGAGCTTGAATATATGCGAGGTCGAATGATTGCAGATTGTCTGGGTGAAGATTAAGACCCCACAAGAAAAAACTTTATCAGTTGGAGTTTCATAACGTGGCACGCGTTATGAATGTGTTCTTCTTCTGATTTTCATGTTGCTCATTATCACTTCTCCTTCTCCAAATGGAGTCGTAAACGTCCGCTTATATTTTTATAAGATAGACGTTCTGATGAGGCTTGATATTAGCCGAAACGACTACGTTTGGTATCTTTTAATTTTATATGCTAGTGTGTTCGTTACACTTCCCACAGTGAGACTTTTGTTTTTTATGTTCACATATCTGTCTTCCTCCACAATCTACACAAAAAGCTTTCTGCCTTTTATGGATACATATTCCTTTCCCATTGCAGTCTTTACAATAATATTTCAAACGTTCATGTTCACATAAACTATTTCCTCCACAAATCTTACACCGACACTTTCGTTTTCCATGTTCGCATATCCTTGTTCCTACACACTCTTTACAATAATATTTTACTTTACCATGTAAGCATAAACCCCGACCACCACAATCTTCACAATAATATTTTACTTTACCATGTTGGCATTTACTAAGTGATTTATTTATAGTAGTGATAGTAGTAGCACTCTTCAAATTCTCTACATTTTTCTCATTGATGACGCCTATCGCTTCAATCAACTCCGCTTTACGTAATCGAGAATACCCCCTGATACCTCTCTCTCTTGCGATATTCTTCAATTCTTTCACGTTGAGTTTGTCCATTTTATTAAAGAATATCAAATCTTTAAACCACTTTTGTGAGAATATTCAACATTCATAACATAAACCATGTTATGAATATAATAGATTACAGTAAGACTTTTTTGAAGATATGTTTTTTTTAATCAAGGTAGCCTTTAGGTTGGGTGATGTCTTGTTTGTGATAAATATAGTATAATAAGTTTGATGAGGTATCTGCAAAGGTCTATGAAGTTATTATGACTCTGATAATGACAAACGAGGTGTGAAAAAGCACCTCATACTTAATTAAACCTAAAATATCACAAAATCAAAATAAAATGGTCAAAAAAATCAGGAATGAGCTAGAACTCTCAAATACATACTACT